CAGCCGCGCGACCTCTGAGTCAGATGTCACTTCCCCCTTTTCTATCCTACGGGTACAGCCGTACAGCCACTCCCCCTGAACCCTGTTTCCCTGCCAACCCCCACCCCCCCTCCCCTATGCAAGCCCCTCCCTCTGAACCCAGGGCTCGCTACAATACTGTATAAACAAACTATACAAAAACGCCTTTACGCTTTGGAGCTTGTTTATCCATCTTTAAGCAACTGCCAGCTAGGTCTCTCAGTCACTCACTCCTGATCGTTCACTGCGCAGTGACAGCTGCTAGGGGCCTGATGTGTGAAAGTGAAACTATCTGATAGATAGACCATAGGTAGCCTATCAAAACGGCCCAGCCCACCCCTCCAGGGAATGGCCGGAACACTTACAAATGTGGGCCGGTAGGATTTAGGTAAGAAAACCAAAAAGAAAAAGGGAGTGGCCGGAACACTTACAAATGTGGGCCGGTAGGATTTAGGCAAAGAAAGAAAAAAAAAAAGTTTTTTTTTTGGCCCTCCGGCCCACACACAGCACCGGCCCACCGGGAAAACTCCCAGTATTCCCAATGGCCAGTCCGCCCCTGGTTCCCAGAATGTTCTTCTGAAAGGTAGGATAACGTTTTCTTAAAACATTATTAAAATTTTTGGTGATAACTTTCTTAAGATGTATGAGCGCATTGAGACAATGAATAGGACGTATAAAAACTAATGTATGCATGCCAATATTCACTCACATGCACTTATAATCACACTAAGGTATGTAGGCCCACTGTGAGTGAATATTGGCATGCATACATTAGTTTTTATACGTCCTATTCATTGTCTCAATGCGCTCNTATGAGGCTACCAATTTAAGTTAAACATTTAACAAAAAAGCATCCGATTAAAATGAGACAGCAGAAAGGGTTAAAGTGCCTTTGGGTAGCCAAGGCTAAAAATTAAACATGAAATGCTGGAGATGAATTAAAGTAGCAGGTCTAAGACGGATTTCAGCTCAGTGGCATTACTGTATAGAAGCGTTGGTGATATGGTATATATTGAAACAAGCTTTTCATTGACTGTGACTGGAATTCTAATTAGGTATGAAGAGATAATGCTTTGATAAAGTGACTGTGAGATCATTTTTTAAATAATTTGCATACTAATGTGACAATTTCATATAAATGAGACATCACTTGAACTATGTTAGAAATCAATTACTTAAAAACTCAAATCTACATGCATTTATCTATTGTGTAGTTCATAAATCCCTATGTGTGGGGAAAGCATGTATAGATTGCCCCCTGAGGAAAATATCAGATGATCATTGTGTGATATGGTTCAGTGGTAAACTGGTTAATAATTCTCAATCACTGCCATCAGAACATTGTTGAATGAAAAAAAATCTAATTGTGGAATACAGATACATGATG